TTCTGAGTGTGGCTTTTTGGGCCCTTCACAACCTGTCTCCAATTTTATTCCACTTGCCTCCCCTTCTTGCATTCTATATTCTAGCCAAACTGGACTTCTAGCTATTTCCCTATCTCATTCTACAGTCACCCACTTCTGTGCATTTATGTAAAGCACCCCCAAACCTGAGATATATTTTTTCTTTTCTGTCTTTTGAGACTGACTTCCTCTTTCAAGGGCCAGAAGAATCACCACCTCTTATAAGAAGCCTATTCAGGGAAAAGTAACCTTCCCTAGGCTAGGGAGATGGCACAGTAGATAGAGTGCCAGACCTGGAGTCAGGATGACTCACCCTCCTGAGTTCAAATCTGACCTCAGACACTTACTAGCTATATGACTCTGGGCAAGTCACTTAACTCGGTTTGCTTCAGTTCCTCATCTTTAAAATAAGCCAGAGAAGGAAATGGCAAACCATTCCAGTATCTTTGACAGGAAAACCCCAAATAGGGTCATGAAGAGTCAGGAATGAACAACAACAACAACTCTCCCTAACTAAAGTGTCCTAGAACACTTTGCATAGATAGTTTTCCTTTGTACTCCAATATTCTGCTTTCTATTAATTTGTTTCTTTTAATCTAATTTTTTCTATTCTGAACTTGACCAATACCAATAAACATGAAAATTTAAAATAAAAGAATATAGGAGGATTGGATATGAAACTATGAATATCTATTACGTACCCCCTCTTAAAGTATATAATAAATTTAACACACTAGATTAAAAACTATCTTGCTTATCTGTCTTCCTCTAAACTTCCTTCACTTCTCTTCTATACATTTTAAAAAATGTTTTAGTAGTCCTCTTTTTTTCTTTTCTTCCCCCCAAATCACTATCATTACCATTCCTCTTTTCCCAAAATCTACTCCATTATGAAAAAAAAATCTCTCTTGTAACAAAGCAAACAAATCCACATATTGGCCATGTTCAAAAATGAATGCTTCATTCTGCCCCTTGAGTCATCTGCCTTTCTGTCAGGTGGTACGTGACATACTTTGGTCCTCTGGAGTCAGGATTGGTCATTGTATTACCCACAGTTCTTAAGACTTAAAAAGTTGTTTTTCTTTACAACATTGCAGTTATTGTATAAATTACTTCACTTGCATCAATTCAGAGAAGTCTTCCCAAGTTTCTCTGAATCCGTTGCTTTCATCATTTCTTTAGGTATAATAATATTCCGTTACATTTATATGTCATTACTTTTTTTTAACTATTCCCCCCAACTTATGGGCACTGCGAAAACTGGTTTGACTGGTACAGTGCCTGACCCCCCAAGACCAGGGCATTACCTCCTATACACACACATACCAGGCATTATCTCCTGTACATACATGTACAAGGTAAACATTCTATTTTCTTGCTGGATAGCAAAGCTAGAGTTAATATCTCTGTGTTCCTTCTTTTCATTCCTCACTTTTTATTAGGCAATTGAGAAAATACCATCATTTCACTGGTCCCAACTCTCTTCCCCTTTCTAAAATCGAGCAGTCTCATTTAGGGGCCAGTTGGCTATTTTTCTCTAAAACTCCATATTACTTTGAGCCCAGAGGGACTCCGGGTCTTTGACCAGAATGCAAAAACTATTTTATGGTTCCTCATGCAAAATGATCCCACTATGTACAGCATATGGAGGGCAAAGGGGGCTACACACCTAGTCTGTCCATGTTGTCTTCTGTTCTACTTCTCTCCTTATGAGTAATGATAGTTTTGGTAAATGCCGTTCCTGTTGCTTCTCTTCATTTGAACTTTGCTACCTTAAAGGAAATATCTTTTTACTTCAGTGCTTTTTAATTTTTTTAATAGAAATGGGTGTGGTATTTTGTAAAAAAAAATAAGAAAAAACAACTTTCTGCATCTATTGAGAAATGAGGAAAAATTCACTTTAAAGAAACTCTAAAATAAAAACTTCTAGAAATGTCATAGACAACATCTAGAGGTTCCAAGTTGACATAAAAATTACTACAAGTAGCCAGAAACAAAGAATCAAGGATCCACAGTCAGGATCATACAAGACATGGCCACTACTACTATAGAGGAGAGGAAATCTTAGGATATGTTATTTCATAAGACAAAAGGACTATAACCAAGGACAAATTGTCCTTAAAAAACTGAGTATAATATTACTTGAGAAAAAAATAGAACTTAATGGATTTGCAGGCTCTCAAGTATTCCTGATGAAAAGACTAGAACTAAGTAAAAACTTTGAAATGAAAGCACAAAAGGAACCTAGAAAGGTAAACCACATTTGAGCAATTAGGAGGGGATATAAGATGATGAAATACTTACATTCTAACAGGGAGAGAAGACATGAGTCCTTCAGAATCCTACTATCTTCAACAGTCAGTTGTTTAGTTATGTCCAACTCTTCGTGACCCCATTTGGGGTTTTCTTGGCAAAGATACTGGAGTGGTTTTGTCATTTCCTTCTCCAGCTCATTTTACAGATGAGGAAACTGAGGGAAACAGGGTGAAGTGGCTTTTCCAAGTTCACACCAGTTAGTAAGTATCTGAGGCTGGATTTGAACTCAGGTCTTCCTGACTCCAGGCCCAGTGCTCTATCCACTGCACCACCTAGCTGCTCCTCAAGGGTCAGAGAAATATTTAATAAGATGAATAGAGGGCCTTGGAGTGGATTTGTCCTGTTTTGATGGTCTTAAGATACGAAATAAAAAGGAAGGGAAAGGCATGCACCAGGAAAAAATGAGGAAGAAGGGAATGGGGTACATTTTGAGAAGAGTATACAAAACATAGTGGAAGGGTTTCAGAAAGGACACTTCTTGTGAACCTCACTGTTTTCTGAAAAAAGGGTAAATGCATATACACAAAGAATTTGGTGTGTACCTTGAACTCAATAGAGAAACAGCCAGGGACAGAAGAAGGACAGAGAGGGTTATGAGAGGGAGGGCAGAGTCAGAGAAAATAATCATCCTCAAAATGAAGTTCAACTTCTGATGAGAATTATAAAGTAAGAACAAGAAAGAAAGAAAGGATAGAAACTGGTGATAAGTGTCAGGACAAGGGAAGGAGAGAAGAAACAAGGAAGTGGAAACAGATTCTTCCAATTATAACCCTTCTTCTTTGAAAGAGAAGAAAAGGCATGAGAGAACATGATGGGGAGAAATACAGAATTAACAATCATAATTGTGAAGTAAATAGGATAGTTGTTGAGTCATTTCAGTTGTATCCACCTCTTTGTGAACCAATTTGAGGTTTTCTTGGCAAATATACTGGAGTGGTTTGCCATTTCCTTCTCCGGCTCATTTGACAGATGACGAAACTGAGGCAAACAGAGTGAAGTGACTTGGCCAGTGTCACACAGAGAGTAAATGTCTGAGGCCAGATTTGAACTTGCAAAGATGAGTCTTCATGATGTCAGGCCTGGTACTTTATCCACTGTGCAACCCAAGCTCACCTATAAAGCAGAAATGGAAGAAGATCTGGTGCCCTTTTCAGGTCTTTTTGGAGATCTATCACACCACCATATAAAACAGAACTGTTATCATACTAATTTGTGTACATGTCATATCCCTCCATTTGTCGACAAGCTGCTTGAGACGAGAGACTACCCAATTTTTTAAAAATTTTTGTAGCCATTGTGCCAAGCACAACGCCTTGCACACAGTAAGCACTTAATAAACATTTGTTGAATAGATTAGAATCTGGGTGGCAGATAGACGATTTGATTCAGTTCTCAAAAGAAAGGTATAATTGCCACCCATCAAACATCATTGTACAGGTATCGGGTCTCTGTTTTCCCATTGTCTTCTCTATTGAGATGCAAAGTTACACATGGCCCCTGCATAAATGAAAAGGAGGTTGAGGGACTGAATAATTTGCTTTCATCATGACTCGAGTTCCATGTGTCTTTTATGGTTTCAATTCCTGCCTCTCTGATATGATTTCCTCATTGGCCTGCCCCCATCTGGTATGTCTGTTTCTCTCAATATTCTGCCTCCCTCAACCTAGCTTGTACTTAGCTTCCTCCTCGGCCTGTTCCCTTGGATTAGACATTTCTATAAAGCTTCCCCCTCATTCCAGTTGATCTCTTGTTGCCACATGCCGCAAACACTAGCTTGCTGTAAGAACTTGACTATGGTTTTGGCTGTGGGCCATTGATTCTTTGTCTTCTACCGCACAGGGAGCTTCAACATCATTCTTGGATTAGCGCAAGGGTTTGGTGCATCCATTCTGTGGTTGGGGACTTCTTTCTGGTGTAGAGCTCCCCTTTGTAGATTCAGGGATGCTATCTACAATGGGGACCCTAAAACTCCTCTTGCAGACAATCTTTTTTTTTTCATCCTCGTGAGACCCAGTACAGTGTCCATCGGAAGTGAGAAAGGGAAACTGTTTCAAGGACTAAATAGCCGTAACGAATTAGTTCTCTTCTGAGCCACAATAGTAGGCCTGTTAATTGAGGAGTGAAGGACTGAGGGGACACAGTTGAAGAGGTTAGCCCAGGGGTGGGGAACCTGTGGCCTCCAGGCCACATGTGGCCGTCTAGGTCCTTGGGCGTGGCCTTTTGACTGAGTTCCAGTTTTACAGAACAAATCCTTTTATTAAGGGTCTCTGATCTGTGAAGTTTGGATTCAGTCAAAGGGCCTCACTTGAGGACCTAGAGGGCCATATATGGCCTCAAGGCCACAGGTTCCCCACCCCTGGGTTAGCCCTATTATGATTTTAGTTCTAACTGTTCTCAGAGTGGAGGGGATTGTATTCTTGTCAGGAGAAAACTCTTCATCAGAAAGAAATTTGCATGGACTTGAAAAATATTTCTTCCATTGTGAAATCCTCTGGGCTTCTCACTCTATAACAACAAATTACACGTTGTGTAACTACTCCTTTAAAAATTGTCCTGGGCAATGTTGTCATTAAAGGGTGGCTGTTCATTGGAAGGAATCAATTAAATCTCTGACACATTAAATGCCACTCACAGACCTGTTTCACAGGTTTCCCTGGAGGAAAATAATATTACATTATAATTTGGAAGCTGATGGAGGCAAGATATCTGAGGCAAGTTCAGAGGTTTAGGAGAGAGACCTTAACTTTTTCAGATTGTTTTTAGGTAGGGGGGTCCCCTTTAAAGGATTACTAACTTCTTCAAACCCACTGAAGGCACCATGGTGGAACAGGAGCTGTTACTAGCATGCAGTTATCCTTCAAAAAACTGTAAGTTGCCAACCATGTTTGGTGAAACCATTTAAATAAATAACGAAAGAAAGTTAAAGATTTTAATTGTCCAGGTTATAAGGTATCAAAACAGTCCCTAAATGGGCAAACAAGGTGGGGGGAATGTTAACATTTGTCTTAACTTTCTGGTTTTGTGAAGGACTTAATGATTAAAGAAGTTTTTATAGTTTAAAGAACTTACTTCTAAAATACAGGTAATGAATGTGGAATTTCCAAAATATCTTCAAAACAATGAATGCTCTGATTAACAGTGGAAATAATACCAATTTTTCCCCTTCATTTCTTAATTTTGAGCAACAAGATAAGTTTGTTGGATGGAAAAGGAAGTAAGAACATTTGTGATCAAGGCAATGTGGTTTTCATAAAGATAGATGTCTACAAATGCCCATTTATCTTTTCCTAAAAACAGAAGTGTGAGTAGAAAGCAATATACGCTCATCAGTGGAAATAAATAATTTTTACGGGGTAGAAAAAAGAATATCAAACATCAAAGATTTTAATTGTCTCCTCTTGGACAGCTAGCTAGTGCTTCAACTGACATTTGGTGTTGTCTTTCCCTGGTTTAGGAAATTAGGTCAACATCACCAATTCTTTGGAACAAGTCAATTAGATAGCTCGAGAGAAACAAAAATAAAGTGATGGTAAAATATAAATTGATGATCTGCACAAAGAGAGAAAAGAAAAAGATGGAGATATATCCAGAGAGAGAAGGGAGAAAACCAAATAAGCAGCCAGGGGAGAGAGGGAAGGAGGGAGAGGAAGGGAGGGAGGGGGAGAGAGAGAGAGAGAGAGAGAGAGAGAGAGAGAGAGAGAGATTGCTTCTCAGCTAGGACATACCCTTTCAAAGGTATTGCTGGTTTGTTTTGACAACCAGAACAGAGTATTTCCACGGGAATTGTACTCATAGTGCATGAATCAGGTGTTCTGGAAAATAAAAATCGAGGCCAGTCTTGTTCATGACGTCCACCCGATTTCTTTTGTAACACCCCTTAGGGCTACACTTTAAAGCAAACTTTTTAAGATACAATAATTAAAAGAAAAGGCTGGGGTAAGAGGCGAGGAGGATGGTGCATTGCAGAGCACAGGGGAGAAGTGAAAAAGACAAGTTGAAAGTTCTCTTTTTTCTTTCTTTTTCTCTTTCCTTTTTTTTTCTTGTTAAAATGATTTGTTAAAATATATTTTGGTACTTGCTTAATAAACTTTTACCTTTAGGGCACTTAAGTTTATAAAAATTATTTTAAAATGTTTTAAATACTTTTCAGGGCCCTTTCTTTTGCATAGACAAGTGCTTTGAGAAAGAACAGATGTAATGACAATTTGCACATGGCTTATGCAGAACAAGGGCTGGGAGTGTATCTTCTCCCACATTCCCAGCAGTCAGTGTTGCTTTATTTTCTTCCCCCCACCCCCCAACAAAATGAATGGTATTCCCTGAGGCAAGGCATGCTGGAGGATTTAGAGAAGCCCAGGCTCCCCATCCTTTGAGCCCCCTAGCCCCTTCTACTTTAGGTGAAGGAGTTGGCTACTAGCCAGGATTTGCTGACCGCTTTGGATAATTTAAATAATCCCACCTAGTCACTTTTCATAGAGAATCTTCAATACACATAAAATAATTAGGGAGAAATTAAAGGGGCCTTAGTCCCTAAACGACCAATTTGATGCTTTTCAAAAGGTGTTTCTAGGGCACCAACCAGTTTTCAATGGTTCATAGGGAAACTGGTGGATAATATAATAATAATGATAATAGCTAGCACTTACATAGAGCATTAATGTTGGCAAAGCACTTCATTCAATCCTCACAATGATCTCTGTGAGTTAGTCGTTATTATTAACCTCATTTTACAGATGAGGAAATTGAGGCAGAGAGAGATTAGGTGTTTGCCCAAGGTTACACTGCTAGTGTCTGAGGCAGGGATCAAACGTACCTGTCCTGACTCCAAGCCCAACACTGCCAGCTGTATCAATCAGCTAATCTAAACTGGAGGAACCGATCTACATGAACGAGCTCATTGCGTTCAGGTTGGCAAGAACTTGTGGAAAAACTATGAGAGGTGTTAAACCTGCTGGGGGAAGATTGAAATTGTCAATTGAAAAGGATCAGTTTTGTTCAGCATCAGTTAAAAACATGGGCTACATACAGACATGTGCTCGAACTTGTCTAGGAGAGCTGTTTGTTAAATTTTCAGTGTGATCATTTATTCCTCAAGGCGAATTCTACTAATCAGGGCTTGATTTATTCTTTTGTTGATTGTCTAGACTTAGAGAGATGAAGAAAATGTTAATAATGCAAATTAAACTTAAAAGTATGTCCAGTATACATTTTTTTTCCTAGAGAGCCAGTTGTTAAATATTTGTTAGCGCACTTCACAGTCTCTCTAGAGAGTTGGCACTCACCTTGAGAAGACAGATCAAAGTACCCATCAAATGACCATGCATGAATATTTCACTATGTATCTCAGAGAAAAAGAGCAGTATGATTGTAATGCCTTGATATCTTTTGGAGATTGAGGGAAGTGAGAATTGTGACTAAGCCCCGAAAGACCTATTATTTTAGTACCTGGTACAAGTTTTGGGCACACAGATGTCAACCTGGAAGTTGTTGGGTTTTTTGTTGTTGGGGTTTTGGTTTTTTGTTTGGTTTTTTTGGCCAGAGAAAGTTACAGATGTCAGAAATTTTATGAATTTGCAGCTCAATATTAATGAATAACAATGAGACTCAGTGTTTACAAATTGGAGGTTTTTGTTTTTGTTTTGTTTTTGTTTTTGTTTTTTTACCAAGAAGTGGACTGTCATCTAAAAGTTTCAAGACTATGCATAAAAAATCCATTTTCAGGAGGGAAGACAATGCAGATGTTCTCCTGTCTGTTTTCTGAGGCAATAAAGCTTTCTAAATTTCCTAGAGAGATAGGAAAGGAGAATACTATAAAATGACCATAGCTTCTTACATCAAATACAGACACTGCCCTCTCTTGGAGAAGGAATTAATCAATCAACAAGCATTTATTGATTTCAATGTCCCAGGCACTGTACAAGGGGCTGAGGGTGCCAAGAAAAAGCAAAAAAAAAAAAACTGTATTAAATATGATATAACTAGCAGAGTAGGAATATTCCCCTTGCAATAATAGTAATAATAGCTAGCATTTAGACGGCACTTTAAAGTTTGCAGAGCACTTTACAATTATCTCATTTTATCCTCACAGCAACCCTGAGAGGTAGGTGCTATTATCATCCCCGTTTTACAGACATGGGAAGAGGCAAACAGAAGTGACTGGCCCAGGGCCATATAGCTCATAGGTGTCTGATAACACACTTGAACTCAGGTCTTTCTGACCACACGTCCAACACACTATCCCCTGCACCACCTAGCTGCCTCAAAACTCGGCCGTGTCACCAGAACAATGAACAGGTCATTAGGTAGTATCTGAGTCACATACAACTAACTGTACTATAAGCAGATCCCCTATAGCGTGATTTCTTATTCCTGAGTCTGTAAATTTTTTTCTTTTTTACTATGTTTTGAAAATTGTATTTCAATATAATTGATTAAGGGGCAAGTAGGTGACTCAGTGGATTGAGAGCCAGACCTGGAGCCAGGAAGACTCATTTTCCTGAGTTTAAATCTGGCCTCAGACACTTATTAGCTGTGTGAGCCTAGGTTAGTCACTTAACCCTTTTTGCCTCAGTTTCCTCAACTGTAAAATAAGCTGGAGAAGGAAATGACATGCTACTCCAGTATCTTTGCCAAGAAACCCCAAATGGGGTCACGAAGGCTTGGACATAACTGAAGGACACCTAGCAACAACAATAATTTATTTTCTTTATAAATCCACATATTTTATTTTATACAGTTAAAAACATTATTGGGGGGAAAATCTACAGGTTTCACAAGACATTCACTAATGGAGTCCACAGCAAAAAGAAATTCAGAATCCCTGACGTATAATAATGGTCTATTTGTCGTTATTCTCAGGATATACTGTTACCTTAGGAGAAATTTGAGCTCTGGCTGGCTAATGCTGCAAGAGCGGCAGGTGCTGGCCACAGAGAGACAATGACCAGTCCTAGAGAACCTCAGTGGACCCGCATTGGGCATACCGCACGAGTTTAAAATGGAAAACACATCTATTAGAATACAGGAATACTTGAGTATTGGACTTCTAGCTCATGGAGATCGCCACAGATGATGTCAGGTTACTAACCACGACCCAAGAAGCTGATGAAATAATTTCCAGCTACACGCTGAGCTTAGGAAAGGTATCGCAGGAGTGTGGAGATGAAAGGTGCAATGACTTTATAGCCCAGGAACTAGGCTGGTTTTGCACAAGTACTGAGAGGGGGACAGCTAGTTATTGTGGCCGCTACTGCTGCCTCAAGAGTGAGGTGGGCTTCCCGGTTACTCACAGCAGATACAACTGATGAGGGAAGGAGAAAGCTAAGCAGCTAAAAGCAGCCTTTTCCTGACTCCCTTTAATGCCCGTGACTCCTGTCTAATTTATTCTGTCTTGGGGATGTGCTTTTTTGCATGTCTCTTCCATTAATCTGTGAGTTTCTTGATTTTTTTTTTTTGCCTTTCTTTAGCTAGATGACTCAGTGGATAGATTACTAGGCTTGGAGTTAGGAAGACTCCTTTTTGTGAGTTCAAATCCAACCTCGTACACTTACTAGCTGTGTGACCCTGGGCAAGTCATTTAACCTCTGTTTACCTTAACCCACTGGAGAAGGATATGGCAAACCACTCCATTAACTTTGCCAAGAAAACCCCATGGACAGTATTGGTGTGTTATGGTCCACAGAGTCACAAAGAGTCATACATGATGAACAACAATGAAAAAGGCATAACACTAACAACTGGGGTCATCAAGGAAGGCTTCTGAGAAGAGGAGGCATAGGAGCAAAGCTGAAGGAAAATAAAGATTCTGGAAGGAAGGAGAGAGGGATTGGGTGGAATTGCCCTTCTGCAGGCTCTCCCTGGGGAACAT